AGGGGGAACGGGGGGAGGCTGCCTAACTCTCCTGGAGGGAGCCTGGCTGTGCCCTGAAGGGCCGGGCAAGGCTGCATCGAGCCCTCTTCTTTACCGGGCTCGGAATTGTCGCTGGCAGCTTGAACTGCGTGGAATGGAGCCTCCTGCCACCAGTGACCGAGGAGATGGTTGCGCAGGCTGAGCAGCTGAAGGGCCGCTTCCAGGGGGATCCCTCTTTTGAGTACGAGTACACTGAGATAAACGCAGAGGATGCTGAAAGATTGTTTGAAGATGGTAAGGAGGTAAATAGAGCAAAACACTTCCGAACTCCCTTCACTACAGTTGTACCCCTCACACTGGACAGGTGGTGGCTGCTCCTCCTCTTTGTTTGTAATAAGCAGCCAGAGCCTGTGCTCCGGCACAGATTATATACAATTTCTTCTTTGCTGTCATTGTGTCGCAACGGCTTCTTGATTGAACTCTTACTTCGGTTACTCCTGGAGTGAGACATGGCTCAGAAATATTCTGCCTCCCTTATGTTTTATTGTGCACAATTGGTGCAGATCCTTGCTGGAGTTTCTGAAGCTTTAATAGGAACTGCAGGCACCATTCTTTATAAATGAATAGACAAGTCGTAAGTAACTTAATTGACAGGGAGGAAAAGACGGATGAAGTGAGGGATACTTAGCGCTCTGGTGAGTCTAGACTGTCTACCCCAACCACGTTTTCTGTTATATCTTATGAGAAGAATGTCCGATTTGTGGTCCTCCTCTTAGTGCCATTGGGCTCTCAGCTGATGAGTCAGTTGTGGTTTCTACTGTCACCTCGAGTTTATTTTCAGAAATGACAACAAGAAAAGCCTTGCCTTTAAAATTTGCGTATTTTTCTTTAAAGCCCATGATCAAGGAGGAGGCCCGCCTCGTAGCTACGATAGAACAGATAGACAGAGCAGTTGGCATCGTCCCCCGGGGGGCATTTGTGAAGACTCCTCTTGGGTCTGTGCATGAAAACAGAAACTTTGAAGGTAAATTCTCATTGTCTTTATCAGGATCAACTGTACTTTGATCATAAAGGCTGTAAATTAACATGACTTTCTCTAGTTGATGTTTTGATTTCAGGTCTATTTTTCCCTTGGGTAAAATGAACAGGGAGGAAAGAATCCAGTGCCACTAACGTTCAGGTGCATGATTCAACTCTGGAAGGTGGGAGGGGAGTCCGTAATGGCTCTGAGTCATGAAACCTGTAGTTTCATTTGTCTGCGTACAGTTTATGTCAGTGTTTAGCAATTATAGCTGCAGTGAATTCTTCATCTAGATATAGGATGTAACCAAATGGGCAGAGAGTTGGTCTCAACTCAGTGCCCATTGCTTATCTGGGACTGCAGCTAGCGTGGTCTGCAATGCACAGCCTTGGGGAGTGCTGCCACCCATTTCTGGCAAGTCTTTGCTTTTCTGTGGAGTTCACTGGAGAAAGATTGTGATTCTGTCCTGTGCTGTGGGCATTAGAGAAACAAGACGATATTCGATGGTATAATGAATATTAGCCTAGCTCATTGTATTAATGGTCATCAATGGCTGTTTGCAGGTCTTTCTTTGATGGAGGCAAAAAAGTTAAGTTCCTATTTCCATTTTACTGAGCCTGTTAACCTGAAGAATAAAACCCTGCTGGAAAAGGCTGACCTGGACCCATCCACTGACTTTCTAGACTCTCTGGAACATGATATCCCACAAGGTAAAGGTAGCAGAATCAACAGATGCAATGAAAGGGAAGGTGGTCTGAGTGGTCTGGGAAATGCCGAGGCGACAAGGTGTGGGTTACTGTAGTTGGTATGCTTGGGAGATGCTCCTGCAAATCTGTAAAGCAACTTTATCCTTTACTAAATATTGTACTTAATTCCCTTTTTAAGCAATTCTAAACACTTACAACGGTAAGATGTAAGTGTACCAGGGCTGTTGCATCCTCACAACAGATCTGACCACACCAGCAGTTAACCCCTCTGCCTGAGTGCCATATTCCCTCCTGACTTCTGTAGGACCTGTGACAGCCGGTGTCCCTGTGGGGAGAGATAACTCCACCAGTGATAGAGGGAATTTATGTGGTTTGAAGTATTTCACACCTTTTGTCCCACCCAGTATTGCTCTTTTTATCTAAATGGGCTCTCATTAACACTAAGCTGATATCTCTCAGAGGCTGAATTCAAACATTCCTTTGATAAACTATGTTAGAAATGCTGTAGCGTGGAATAATCTGTACTGCAGTGGGATTACACACTGTGGAAGGAGAAAGGAAGGTGTGCATACTGGAATGTATCTTCAGATCACGTCCCTACTGTTCTGCTGGACAACTGGTAAAGAAATTTAAAGCCTCTTCCAGGGGTTCCTCTGGCAGGATATTTCTCTAAAGAGATGGGAATGGCTTGTTACTTGTTTCTAACTGCTTTTTGCTGATTCGCTGCACTTTTTGGATTGGGCCAAGTGTTTTCACATCCTGCTGTCTAGAAAGATTCTTGGGACACATCAGAACTTAGGTTTGCTATTTTATTCCTATCCTGCTACTCCAGGATAGGATAGTAGGTGACCTGTGCCAGATGGAATTGGCTGGAAGGACGGTGAATTGCCAGTGCTGTAAATAGCTCTTCAGACTTGATATCTATCTATCTGTCTCCTAATCTTTCCTTTGGCAAAAAAGAACTGAGAATGAACCCAGTAAACTCCTGCCTGAATTCTGAACATTTTTGACTGTTCAGAGCATAAACAGCACTAAAATCTAAACCATTGTTCAATTTACTGGGAGTGTTCTTGCTGCAGTCATTTTCCAGAGGTGTAGACCGGACAGACTGCACACTTTTACATACACTGGCTCATTCAGTTGGCCATTTTGACTCAAAAAGGAGTATTGCAAGGGGAGTTAGGTCCTAGACACCTCCTAAGAAAATTTTAGCTGCAGTTTTGTATGGTAGTTCAGGCATTGCTACTGCTGGCATTTGTATTTTTTTTTCTTTCCCTCCTCTTTTCTTCTGCAACCACAGAGTCACTGCAGCAGGAGATGAATCTGCGGTGCTTTCTAAGTTTCCACTAGAACGCAGGCACCAAGGGCTAAGAGCCCGAAGGCTAATTTGCATCACAGAGCTGGTTTTACTTGCCTTCAGCTGTGATGGAGAATGGCACCTTTGGAAGATTACAGATATCATTCTGCGGTGTTTCGTATCTCGTTTGAAGAACCTGGCAACTGGCAGGTCATGCTGTGTGTTAGACATAAAGATAGTGGTTTTGTTGAAGTCGTTCAATCAAATTTGACTTGTAGCTGTGTTTTACCCAGTTTTACCCAGATAGAAAGTGGGGCTCAGCTGTGCCTCTGTCGCGTTTGTCTTCCTATGGCAACCTGAGGTGTGTGTAAGCGTGAACCTTTGCCCCCGTCCTGGGAGGCCGTTGCTGTTAGTGCAAATCTCCGACTTCTCAAAAAAAGTTACCTCTCAAAGACTACCTGAGCTCAAGTGCAGCTGAGTGCTTCTTAATGGAAGAGGAGAATATTCATCATGGTGCCTGTGCCTCTCTGGCTGCTCTGTCCTGCTCTGTTTCGGACTGAACCTGGGAATTGATGGAATGAGCTTGTCAGGCAAAGGAAGTAAGACAGGAACTGGTTACAGGATCAGCAGGGCATGTAGCCTTTCTAATTGCACTCTATCACATGGTGATAGGAGCTCTGACATTAAAGAAAGATCAACCCATCCCCCTTGAACAGGCATTCAGGTTGCCTGAAGTACTGGTTGCTTGTGAAAATGTGGGGCAAAAAAAGAACAGAGGGCAGACACAGGCTTTCTGCTGATTTTATCAGCATGGCTCTGCCAAAGTCACTCACTCCTGGTTGCAAGGCATTCAAACTCTGGTTCTTGGATTACCTTCCTTCAACTCTGTCAGTGCATGTTGGTCCTGACCCAGAGCAGACAGTGCTTTTTCTGTTTCCTGACATGTTGTTCATAGCTCTGGCAAATCCCCTCATTTTGACCTGAAGCTTTCCTTGCCTTTCCTGGCTAGATGCTATCTCGAACAGTTATTGTTAGAGCAGAAGTAGGAATTCCCAAATCTGTTGCATCTAGAATTGTGACTGAAGCCAGAATTGTCTCTGCCCTCAACAAGTACACAAAAAGTGGACCGGGGGTGAGCGACATCTGAGTGATGCTCCCAGCCGGCATTGGCTAGAGTTCCCCTAGCATCTTAAAAGAACCTAAAGAACAGGACTGAGAGATTAAGGGCTGATTTTAACCTGTCTAAAAGTAACAACTCTGTTGGAATAGTTTCTTAATTAATTGGAGACTGAGCATCTGTGACGGCTGTCAAGGAGGTAACTGTCATAAAATGTATAGTGTGTCATTATAGGAGAGCAGAGGTGTCTTACAGAATGGAAAGTTGGAGGCAGAGAGAACATTTTATATGACAGCTGAGAGGTGGGAAGAAAGGAAGTTAAAACTGGGTTGAATAAAGGAAACAATGGTAAAAGCAGAGAGTTTAGTGCTAGATTAGAAAACCTGGAGTTTTGTAACAAAACGGTCTTCCACCCTTATCTTTACCAGTGATATCTGTGGTGATTGCAGGTTCCAGATGCTGTCTGTGTGTCTATCAGGTTATCTGTGCACTTTGAGTTCAGAGTATGTTGCTGCTCCTCCCCTAATCAAACTGTGAGTCTCTGTTTTTTTCTTGGTGTCTCAGCTCCCAGAGACAAGTGACTGTGTGACTTAGCTTTTATTAAAACAATGCATTTTAAAAAAATGATTATAGAGAAAAGTGGGAGAATGTGAAGCCTGTCTCAAAAGCAAATTCAATCGGTTTATCCTCTTTAAAGTCTCCAGCTCTCTGAGCCAAACTCTTGAATTTTAGTGGCCTGACTCACGATTTTTGAACATGGAGGGGCTGCGATACTGATCTTCCGTCACCACAGTATCAGATCGTGTAGTGCTTTATTCTGATCCAAATGGCCAGCTGGCCAGAATGTGGCATGCTGGGATCTGTAGGTTTTGCTGGCCATATGTCTGCATTAAAGATAAGCTTGTTTGCTCTAGTCTGAGCAGGCAATCTGCTCAACTTTATGCACAATTAGATGTAGCCTTTCAGCTGCTGGCAGATTGCCAGCGCGGTCCTTTCTGCTGCGTGGAGTTCGGCACCCTGGGCGATAGCATTGCAGGAACTAGAGTTGTGGCAGTTTTACACGCGCTTGTAGATAACGGAATGGCAAAGCAAATAGCCATAATTCCTAGCATGCCTACAGCATTTTCACTTGATGACCTAATGTTGCGTAGATGTGAAATAATAGTCACTTGTCAGGCATTGACATGATGGAGAAAGTGAAAACGGAGGGGGAAGGATGATTTTACTGTGACCGTGGTATCAGATCAGGCTATGCTACGTTCTGCAAGGATAAAGGAAGGGGATGGGAGAAAGCCAAAGGTATTAGCGTTGAATGGAAAGCTTGGGAGGAAGTAAAACGGGGGATGGAGAATTCAGTTCTTTGGCACTTTCAAACTACGGTTCAGAAAAGCAATAACTTGACTCTGAAGGTTTGTTACAGATTACTGACTTGGATAGATCGCTTTGATATGGAGATAAGGGACACCAACAGGGCACTGTTAAAAACTGACGCAGGAGGGAAGGTATGTCGGAGGCAAAGGCAAAGAAAAATGTAGATAGGAAAAGGTATGAGTGGAAATTGGATTTCTATGAGAAGATTTTATTCAAAAGTTATGACTCCCACTCAATAAATAGCTGCTTTTGGTTGAAGGCCTACCACAGTTCACTGGTGGAATAAGAGTAGGAATTAGAATTAAAAAAGCAATATGAAAGGAAATACAGAAAGTTGGGAACATAATAGTTTGATATAAATTGGAATTTATAATGAGTAGAAAATGACAAGGAAAGCCGGGATAACCTGGAGTCGTCCACGACAACGGTAAGGAGGACTATTTCAACTATATTGAGAGGAAAAGAAAGCATAGTAATGGGACTATGCTAAAAACTGCTGCTAAATGGTGATGGTAAAAAGGCTGATAAGAATGTGGAAGGGCAGCAATGCTCAATAATGTTTTTCTGGTTTGTTTTTGGAAAGAATATGGACTTGTATCAAATGAAGACAACAAAATACTGTTTCAGACAGTTTTCAGACTATTTGCTGAGGGAGGGTAGAGTTAGACAACTTTTACTGTGAGTAAAAAAAAAAAAAGAAAAAAGAAAATGGCAAAGCCAAATAAGTTACTCCTGAAAGCATGATCTCAGGAGACTTGTGGCGTACTTACGATGCCGACCTTTAATAAATCCCAGCATTGCAGAAATAGTCCCCATAACTTACCTTGATTAGTAGTTGTGATTCAGAAATCACTGAATGGGTGTATTTCTGGAAGGGGTCAGAAGGGTCTTCAGCTCAGACCAGTGCCAATACTGATATCCTTCAACTTATTTATAAATGATCTAGAAGTAAAGGATTGGTGGAGAGATAAATAATGACAAGGGCAGGATGGCTACTGAGATCTGGTAAAATGGGCTACTTAAAGAAAGTACATTTTGATGTAGCTACTTGCAAGGTCACGTATCTAAGAGCAGGGACTGGAAGTCAGATTTTAAGAATTGTATTCTGAAAGCTGTGGCTCTGAAAGGAAATCCAGAGACAGCCCGCTGAACATCAGCCCCCAGTCTGATCCTGAGACTTAAAAGGCTAATTTGATCTGTAGATGTATAAACAAGGGC